TCACTTCTCTCTTGGTCACAACTTAAATCTTTTCAAAACCCATTCTCTATTAAATGGTCAACAAATGTTGACATTATTAATTCTTTAAATAATGATCAAAAATTCTATACCTTTTACCTTAAAATTATTAATAACAACCTATCTACTATGCAAAATCTTAACTTATGATATCTACTCTTATATACTATTCCAAATTGTGTCTATTGCCAAATTCTTGAAGATATATTACATTTCTTTACATGTTCTAAACAAAAATATAATCATCAACAAATCCTTCAAACTTTAATTTCAAATATTACTCAACAATTAAATATCTCTTTTGAACTTTTAGATAAAATCTATATTATCTTGTTACAACAAACAAACACTTTACTACACTCTCATTTTCTTAATCTTATTAAAGGCCTCTTTTCTATATCTCACTACAATAATGTTAAAATATTACTTCATAAAACAACATCTTTCTTCTTTATAGCCCTATTAAATGCTACTCTAAATTGGTTTCATTAACATATATAGCTACTATATAACATTCTTCAACAACAATAGGAAAAAGCTCACAATATAACTAAAAAGTCTAAATAGTCAAAAATATATTTTTTAACTCTACCTTTTTAATCTAATTCTAATACTACTAATACACCTATTATAAATCCAACTATATCTATTAAAAACTAGTTAATTCTAGGCTATATATTTACTAACTGTATTTACTAAATGCCAAGACTATCATCTTAGATTTCCTTCAACCTTTCTATGCTTAAAATTAATTTAAAATAATTAATAATAATGTTATATAGAAATGGAAGTGTAATGTTACATTGGATGTCTTAAATAAGTAACACAAATGTAATTTAAAAATCTTTAATATAATTACTTTTATTACTTAATAAAGTTTCTACTTTGGTATAACAAAAAAAAAATATATTAAAAAATATAATATTTGATGAATACAAACAAGTTGATCAATAAGATTATTAAATAAGTTATTTTAATGTATAATAATTTTATAAAAAATAAACTAAACATTATATAAATAAATAAAATTGATAAAAATTTATCAAATAAAAAAATATAAAGTATGAGTATAAAAGAGTTTAAATATTAATAGACAAATACTATGATATTTAAAAATTATAAATTATAAGTTAGTAAAAATATGAACAAAACAATTTCTAGAAACAGTAATTATTATTGAGAAGATAATAAGAATTTTAGTTTTAGAAAAACATAACCAGAGTTTAATTTGTATCTAAAATAAATAAATAGTTGTAAAGTTATCTACTTAAATACAATCTATATTTATAAAACATTAAAAAGTATTAAGATTAATAACAAAACTATCAGTATAGAATAAAATAATAAATAGATTGTAATTAAAATTAGTAATAGACTATAGAATATCAATAAACTGACCTAATTGAATAATATAAAACAGTTGTTATAAGTTAATTGTTAATAAAGATAAAGAATGTTGTATAATTACAGAATATATAATATCAAGAAAGTTGATATATAGATTAAGAGTTTTATTAGAATTAATGCAATAGAAAAGCTTAGTAACCAAATTTGTAAAAATAAAAATAATGTATTTGTTAATAATTATATTAGAATTAAGATAATATTTAAGACATATTATAATAATAGAAAGAAGAGTAGAATGAAAATTAGAAAACTAAAACTGGAATGAGCAATATTAATGATTAATAAAGATAAAAATAGTTATAAATTTACTTTAATTATATTAATAAATATATATATAAATATTATTTATTTGGTAAATTTTATATAAATTTATTAAAAATTAATAATTTTGCTTTTTAAATGATAATAAAATAATAATTTATAATACAAGATTAAAGGTTTTTCACATAAGTGAACTGCTTTAAAGACTTAATGATTATAGTATATTTATACTAATGAAAACTGAAACAATTGGTAAGATAGGTAGATGAGAGAATATGAGAACCAGAATGTTTAAATAAAGAACTCATAGGCAGATTCTAGATATGACAGCTAGTGTAAAACCTTTAAGCAAACTACTTAAATTAGACAATAATTAAAATTATACAAATGACTAGTTGTACACTCTTCTCATGGTTGCTCTTTGTAACTGTTGTAATACAATCATTATAAAAGCCTGGGTTGCAAGTACTTACCTTAACATTAAAAAAAATAAATAAAATAATTTACTTAGGTTCATAATCTTAAATGTTTTTTCTTTCTTAATTAAATATAATCTAAAAAAATAAATAAAATAATTTACTTAGGTTCATAATCTTAAATGTTTTTTCTTTCTTAATTAAATATAATCTTGTTGGCAAATATAAATATTGTACTATATTTGAACATTATTTTGAAAAAATATTGTACAAGTGTATCAACTTTCGCATACTGGCGCAAATTAACTGCGCCACGTATTATCAAGTAGTTATTAGTTAATAACTCGGCCAATAAATTAATAATCATTATTAATTATTATTAATTCAGGAGATCCTATCACTAAGTAGAACTGCTGAAATAATTGAATTAGTATTATACTTAAGGCCTACTCACTTTTCAATTTTTTAACAATTTTTTTAGTTTTTAAAAATTTATATTCTTTTAATCAACTAAATTATAGTATTAGCCTTTTATATCTTTTTTTTATAACCAATTGAATCACTATATTTTATTAAGTTATATTGTTTTTTTTTTACGTACTAGAAAAACTAATAACCTTTATATAGTATAAAATTTTATGCTTTAGTATAAATTTCCGGTATTGTAGATATTGTAGACAATTATTTTCGTATGTATGTACGTACATACATTAATTTAACAGTTAATACTTTTTGTATGTTCAATAATTAATGTTTTATAGAAGAATGGCTTGTAAGAACGCCTAAGGGACTTTAAAAAAAAACAAATAATTATTATTAAGAAACCAAGTTATATGATTTATGATATAAATTGACATTATTTTAGAATATATCAAGAGATAAAAAAACAATGTTAAAATTTAAATGTTTGATTTAAATATACAATATAAAGTAATCATGAAGCTATACACGTTTTTTTTTTTGATCATTTTCATCAAAGTGACCATCTTGACTCGTATGAGTCGAAAGAATCACGTGTAATTTGGATCACTGATTCGTTTCTTGAGGTGTAATTTAGATCATTCGAAAAAAAACCATTTTCAGATTCGTTTCTTGAAAAAAAAACTATTTTCAGATTCTCTTCTTCCACATAATTTAAAAAGGAATAGGTTCTATACATAATTGAATTAGACTCGAAATTGAATCAAATTACAGAGTCAAATATTTTTAAAAAATCGGAATTAAAAAGATATTTCTTAGAGCATGTGATTATGTAGGATCATGCTATAAAATTTGTAATTAATAATAATAATTAATAATTAATAATAAGGGATATATACCGATATCCATTTCTCTGTAAAAATCGGGATAGTATTTATCGGGAAGCTGCGGCACAAGATAATATATTATCAAACCAAATTGGAAGTCAAACCAAATTAGGAGCATTACATAATAATATAATTATTACATATTATTACATAATAAATAATTAACAGGCTCTTTAAAATGTCGCAAAAATTTGAACATCGTAACACTATATAAAAGTCAACCCTTTTCTCTTAAAAAACATCATTTTAGATAAAATAATTTATTTCAAAATAAATATATACAATAATAAGGTTTTTACTTTTAATAAATTTAAAAATGCCACAAGCAATTATATCCCCTTCTATTTTATCTAGTGACTTTGCTCAACTTGCTGTTGAATCTCAACGTATGATAAATGAAGGGGCGGATTGGTTGCATATTGGTATGTTTATGTTACTTGCTTTCTATGCGATAATAATGATAGAAAAAATGAATATGAATTTTTTAAAAAAATAATTAAAAATATATATATATATTTTTTTAAATTGTAATTGTAGATATCATGGATGGGTATGCATCGAAATTTGTAAAAATTACTTAAAAATTTTTCCTGAATCGTATATCTTTGAAAGATAATAAAATAAAATAAAAGAAAGAAAGAAAGGACAAAATAATAATAAAAAAAATAATAATGATAATATTATAATATATATATATATAAATTTTTTAACATTTAGACATTTTGTCCCGAATCTTACTATTGGTGCACCAGTTGTTCATTCTTTACGCAAACACACCGATGCTTTTTTTGGTAACGTGCGTGAACCCTTAACATTGGGAGTCAAATTATTTAGTTTTATGTGTCTTAAATTAATTATAGTCTTTAAATTCATGTAGATTGCCATTTAATGGTATCAAAACCCGAAAAGGTTTGTTTTCCGAATTATTCAACGCAAGTTAAAGAAAAAAAAAGAAGTTTTTTTTATACTTATACTAATACTAAATACTTTTTTTAAAAAAAAAGTGGGTCAAAGATTTTGCAAAAGCAGGAGCATCATTGTTCTGTTTTCATATAGAAGCATCACAAGATCCGGGGAAACTTATTGATGAAATTCGTGAACATGGAATGAAAGTTGGAGTTGCAGTTAAGCCTAAAACACCTATCGATGTTATATTTCCTCTGGGTCATATGATTGACATGTGTTTGGTAATGACTGTTGAACCTGGTTTTGGTGGTCAAAAGTTTATGACAGAATGTATGCCAAAGGTATGTATAATATTATATTATTTCTTGAGTATATTTATTTATCTATCCTAAATATATTTAAATGTTGCAAGTTCTAAATTTTATTTGAAAGAAAAGATGAAAAAGTTAAAAAATGATAATTAATGGAATAAAATTTAAATTTATAGGTAAAGGCATTAAGAGAAAGATTTCCCGAATTAAATATAGAAGTGGATGGAGGTTTATCACTTGACACGATCGATGAAGCTTCTAAAGCTGGGGCAAATGTGATTGTGGCTGGTACCTCTATATTTAAAGCTAGTAATCCTAATGAGGTAATTAAAACATTTAGGAATAAAGTTACCGCTGAGCAAGTTAAATATTCAAAATTAGATTAATATAAATTTTTTATCGATTGTGAGACTTTGAAGAAAGAATGTTTATTTATTTATTAAATAAAGATTTTTTTTTTTTTATTAAATTATTCGAGTTATTCGCGTTATTCGCGTTATTCGAGTTATTCGCGTTATTCGAGTTATTCGAGTTATTCGAGTTATTCGCGTTATTCGAGTAATTAAAAAAAAAATAGATGAATGAACTTAAAATGGTAATGATCAGTAAAATTATTAGTGAAGAATGAATTTCAAGAATATGAGATTCGAATTAAGATTAGGACTAAGTGGTATTTTTTAAATTATATTTGATAAATTATAATTGATTTTCGAAAATAAATGTCATTTATTGAGTGGATTTTCTAGATAATTTAAATTTAGTATTTCATTGGGGTTGAAACTTTACGAATCAAGTCAAAGAGGAATTTTGCAACACAATAGCTCTAGATACTTTAATGAAGATAGATTGTTGAAAACATATTCTTCCGGGTATTACCATTATTATTGTTGTTATTACTAATACCCAGATTAACTAGTAATTTTCGAATAGTCTAGTCGTAAAGTGCTCTGGTTCAACCACTAGGTAAAATGAATCTACATTCTGACACGATCATCTTGTTTCAAAAAACAGGAGTTACTCAATAATTACAGTATAAAGGCTTGATAATATACAAAACATAAGTTGTATTATAGTTAATATTTAACAGATAGTAGTTAATAGTTAATATAACAGATAATGGTTAATAGTTAATAGTTTAAAGAAATTACATAGATACATATAGATACATGGCATACAGACACTTGAAAAGCAATGTACTTTAAAGAATTACACGACATCTCGGGAAATTAAAATGTTTTTTACTAAACTTGGTAAAATTGATATTCTATTAAGATTTCGGCACGAAATTAATTTTCAATGCAACTTTCGGCACAATTACTTTTTTATGAATTTCATTTTCAGTATAAAAATTACAACATTTGGATTAGTAATTTTCTATCGGAAATTATTTTGTATAAAGCTTGTAAAAGATTTACAATGCTTACCATGCATGTAGTTCATCTTAAGCAGGATATGAAAAGATCCTTGAATTTTTTTAGTTTCATAGTAAAATAAGAAATGAAATTCATTACCATATAATTATAATTCTATGCTATGCGCATTATTCTAAAATAATTTAAGTACGATGCTGCAATGTGCAATGAAGGAATAAGAATACATAACATAATAAACACAAAGTTTCATACTAACACACGCGTTATGTCAATATGTTATATCTGATATGTTAGGTGGGATATGTTATTACATTACGTTTTACGTTACGCTATTACGTTACGCTATTACATACGTTTTACGTTACGTGGAATATACAATATCAGATATCTGATATGTAAATACCATAACGTGATATTTTTGTAAATTTTATTAGTATATTCTTTTCGATATATTTGAAAATGGAAACAATAGCAAGTATTAGAAACAAATTTCACATATCATTATTGACAATTATTTAAAATTATTTAAAAATATTAAAAATATTTTTATTAAATTTTAAAACAATTATTCATTATTTACAAATTTTTAATTAATTAATTTATAGTACGTAAAAGTTCTTCTGCATTCTCAAGCTTTATTTTAAATGAGTACATAAACGTGTAGATAACGTTATTTCCGGTTTATTAAATTATTTAAATCGTGCATGTACACTTAAAATATGACGCGTTATTGTTCATGTACACTGTTGACGTATGTATGTATTTTTAAAAAAGTAAATTTTAGGAAGATTATATTTAATAGTTCATGCGAAACCTACGTACATACCAGATACATACCAGATACATACTGATACTTACGTACGTATTCATGTATTGAATATCTATATATCCCTGAAATTTCTTTTTATTAATTTTTTATTAATTTTAAAATTGACATATTGTTCAACACGTGGATTATTTAAAATTACCCTAATTAACATGCAAGCGGTATCATACCGAAAGCGTCATTTATAAAGTATCACTAATGACAAATATTGATAAAAAAAAAAAAAAATTTTTCACCCTATTTTTAATCAAAAATAGATTTATAGATTTTTTTTAATAATAGATTATGCAATGCATTTTGTGGGTTTATTAGAGTCTGCTTACAAATATTCAAGTATTGCGCGAAATATTTAATTAGTATCTTTGTTGTATGTTGTATGCGGCACATAAAAGATTATTTTTTTTACAATGTAAATGCAAACGTAAGTGTAGACGTAAATGTAGATGTAAATGATGTAGATATAAATGTAGGTGTAATGTAGAACGTAAATGCAAATGTAAGTGTAGACGTAAATGTAGATGTAAATGTAGATGTAAATGTAGATGTAAATGTAAGTGTGGACATGAGCGTAAACGTAAAATTAAATGAAAACGTATAAGTAAAATGTAAAGTATAAGTAAAATACAAACGTATAAGTAAAATGCGAACGTAAAATTAAATGTTAACGTAAAATTAAATGCGAACGTAAAAATTAAATGGTAACGTAAAATTAAATGGTAACGTAAAATTAAATGTTAACGTATAAGTAAAAGCAAACGTAAAAATAAAATTTAAGTGTAAAGTTAGACGAAATGTAAAAGTTAAAAGTAAATTGTAAATATAAGCACTTTGATAATTCTGAATTAATTAATTAATGAGTTACTTAATTAAATTCAAAGAATTCAAGACCATTTTTAAATTCTTTCAATTACCAAAATGTTTAAACATTAGTAATCGATATTTCCTAATATTCAAATACATTAAGGTATAATTTTTTTTCATTTAATATTTATTTCCATATTCTTTTAACACATCATTTTTTAACATATCATTTGTTTATATCATTTGTTAGAACTGATAACGTTAAATGTTTTAAAATTCAGAAATGTCACACTGATTGTAATGATTACCACAAGAACGATTATGATTACAGATTGCGCATAAATTGAAAATTAATGGTAAATCCAGTATTCCAAAGATGGAAAAGAAGAGGGTTAAACAAGTGAAGAACAGAACAGCAATTGAATCTTTTCATTGCAAATGCAAGAGATCGTGCACATTTCTGCTACTCGCGTATGGGATTTCCATACAGCATACCAAACACAGGTAATAATTGATCTTATTAATGTTTATTGTTTTTAGCCAACTTTGTAAAATAATACATGAACAAATAATAGGTTGTTAATGTGTTTGAAAACTTGATCGCTGTAAAAAGAAGTTAAAAAGTAATTATTGCTGTATGTACTCCCACTAATGCCCACTAATGCCCACTAATGCCCACTAAATGCCTACTAAATACCATGTGCAACTAACCATACCAATATGTAATTAATGATTTAATAATAGGATAATAATAAGATAATAATAGGATAATAATAAGATATTTAATAATGATACATATCGATATCGATATCGATATACTAGCATTAATGCTACGCACGTAGCGTTAATGATGTTACGCACGTAGCGTTAATGCTAACGTTAAGATGAAACATGTCATGTGTTAATATACTGCCTGAGATCTATAACGATAAAAGATGATTAATTTATAGATACGTATACATAATATTACTAAAGTTACTAATATTGCCAATATTGCCAATGGTGCCAATGTTGCAAATATTGATATTTATTGATATCTATCTAACTAATAATATATTATATCTATCTAACTAATAATATATTATATCTAACTAATATATCTATATAATATATCTAACTAATATAATAGATTCAATTATATCTCTAATATATTGTATCTAAAATATCTAATTCTAATTACTAATACTGTAATAAGAATGAAAAAAGAACGTCCAAGCTTTGAAAGAAGATTTTTTTTTTGTTTAGTCAAATAAAGAATAAAGGATGCAGGAATATCCGAAGACCGTGAGATGATTGTATTACGAAAAGTAAAGTGATGTATGACGAGATCAACAAATAAATAAAACGAATGAAAAACCGCATGACGTATATGTTTATTATTATTGAGTAACATCAATATGTAAATCGATTGACCCGTGTTAAATTAAGAACGCGTTATTCATAATTCTTAAAGAAAAAAAAAAAAAATAGATAATATATTTTTGTTTATATGCTTCGTAAACCTTGTCGTTCAAAAGTAAAAAATTTCCTTTTTTTTAATAAACTGGTTTTTTACTCATTTTGATTCATTTTGATTCACTTTGATTCAATTTATTTTATTCATTTTCTGATTTATTCTAATTTCTTTAAACGTATAAATTTTATTTAAAAAAAATTCATTGAACACAGTAAAATTTGGCTAATCACATTTGGAATTTTTTAAAACCACACATTTATATTATTTTATATCATAAATGAAGTTTATTTATTAGGTTTCGTGTTACGATAATTTCAACATTTGTGGTTAATTTAGAAGAGTCCGGTTACTCTCCGTTATCAGTTAAATCGGTAATTTTTTATTGAACGAATAAATTTAAAATACGCCTACGAATCATTTGTATAATTTGTATAATAAAGTTGTATAATAAAGTTGTATAATGAGTTGTATAATGAGTTGTATAATGAGTTGTATAATGAGTGATAATTTGTATAATTTGTTAATTTGTCGGTCGATTTTTAATTGTATCCTCCGGTGCGGTGCGGTGCGGTGAGTACAATTCAGAAAGTACAATTCAGTAATCCAGTGATTATTTATCGATAATTTCTGATAGAGTAAATGATTATGTGATTAAGGAATAACTTGATTAGGTTTTGAAGATTGTTTGTGAATTTTTTTTTTTTTTTAACAAAAGAAAAAACCGAATTTTATTGTTGATTGTTTACAAAGATGGTTCTTTGGCTTGTTCTGGCGTTTGACCATAAAAGTGTGATTAGATGAAAATATATATAAGAATAGTTTTATTTTTCTAGAATCGGATTTGAATGTGAAAATTGGACGTGATGACTATTGATTGACTATTGATTGACTATATATCGATATATATTATGATATTATTAAAATAATCAT